TGAAAAATAAAGACATTATTAAATTTGCTAACGTTGCGAAAGGGGTTAAATCAATTTCTAAACAGAGATCGAAGACATTAGATCATGTCGAGAAATTGCTTTTGCTTTGGATAAATGAAAAACGGCGTGCCGGCGACAGCGTATCGGAAGAAATTATTTGCGAGAAAGTTAAAAGGATACATGCTGATCTCATGAAAAATCAAGCAGAAACTAGCACGGAAAGCGAGGTGTTTAAAGCCAGCCATTTTTTTTACATGAGAACGAATTAATCATTTTTACATTACTTCTTATGGAAAAGGTTGGTTTGGTATACGTCCTATTCGGTATAAGTCCAAACACCAGGAACGGATTAAGGTCGTATACCGAGGTTCCACTGTATTTAAGTTTCATTGATGATCATGATTTTAGAACTTATTAGTGAATTGTATTATTTGTTGAAACACAAATGTAAACAAATTACAGTAAAACCTTTTTAAGGAAAAGTTTAAGGAGTAAAAGAAAAAAGTCTCAACTTTGAGGTCTTATCTGTTTTCAGAGGTGATTCAAGATCAACTCAGGCCTTCGGAAAGGTCAATGCCAATGTTTAATTTGATGCCAATTTCTGATCCTAACTGGAAATGTTTACTGATCTTGGAACTGACATTTTTTAAATTAAGAATTGTATACTTTAACATTATTAACCCAAATGCCAGTCATTCGAAATTCTGATGGCAAACAAATTATTAAAAGGAAATATTTTTACAATAAAAATTCTTTGTTTTGAGAAGTGACTTTTGGTTAGTGTTCAGACCATGTCTAGGACCTTACATTTGCCCTAGTAATTATGAAATAATATTAATTGCTATTATTCATGAAATGGTTTTTTGATCAGTTTCATCTGACTAATTGATATCAGTTATTGTCAAAACAATTTTAAGTGACTAATGTATATTAAATGGTATATTAAAAACTAGATAAAAACTTGTAAATTGATTTGATATATTTGAAATTTGAAGTAATATAAAATTGAACAATACACTATTAATGATAAACAGAACATTTGCCAAATGGTACCATATGATATTAATTGGTATCATTTGATGCCATTTAATGTCACTCACTAAATGATGTCAGTTAACATCAATTGATATCATGTATTTAGAATTTAAAAATGTGATTACATTACAAAATAATTTGATAACAGTTGATATTATTTAATATTCTCATCTACAAAGTAAATGATTGCAAATTAATTGCTAATTATTATCATTTAATGTCATTTTCTACCAATTGGCATCAACTCATATTATTTGAAGTAATTTGCTAATAGTAGATGATTTCAAATGATATTTTTATTAGGGGGTGTCTAAATGGGGGCTGCAAATCTTTTTGTGTTGATGATTTTGTTAAGTGAAATTTTTTCTTTTAGTTTTTTCTCCTTTATATTATATTAATTTATTATTATATTTGTGAGTTATTATTAACATTAAATTGCATAATAATTGCTCAAAAGAAATAATTTTCCTACAAAGAAATAATTTTTCTACAAATAATAATTCCTACAAAGAAATAATTTTTTTTATTCCTAAAGGCAAATTATCACTTTGGCAAAAACATTATCCTAGAAAACCTTGTGTTAAAGCTCAAAAGTTAGAACATTTCTTTTAATGTCTCAAAATTAAAATAAAAAATTTTCTTACATACAGTAGCTTAATTTTTTGTTTTCATTTCATTTGATGTATACATATGGTTTATTTTAATCAGTCCATTGAAATAACTAAAAAAATATACATCTTGAAAAAAATTTATTAAACCAAACATGTTAGACTTCAAGGGTGCCGCAAGATGACATTATTGGTTTCATCATAGATTGCACTACAGCTGATAAAAACAGAATTACAGAAAAACAGAATCAACTTATTTTCTTAACTTATAACCTGCATTTTTTATTGCATATTATGATTCTATAAAAAAAAAATGAATAAACTTTTACCTGAAATATTTTTTCTGTGAATTTTTATGTAGTTAACACATTGTGTACATTCATCTACAAGTATGTGGACAGTATGGTAGCTGTGAAGTTCATTGAAAAAAGGAGGAAAAAGACTAAAAATTCATTGGAAAACTATTATTATTTAGTGTAATCATTCTTTTTCTTTAAATAATAAACTGGTAAAACAACTTTTGTCTTCGTGTATTAAAGCCATTAAGCTTGTGATAAAGAGAAGACGTTAATCTTGGCTTATTTTTAAAATCTATCCTGAAACTTAGCTTGAGACCATCTTAAATTTTCTTAATGCATTTTTTATGTTAATTAAACTTTTAGCAGAATACTTCATTAACATGAGTCCCCTTGTGGCCATGTATGCCATATTTTAGTTAGGTTCTTTAGGATGTTTTTCATTCTTTCTTCTTTGTCCTATTCTTTTCTTGCCTTCTCTGTTAAATCTTTCACTTCAACCTATATCTGTGGTAGACCTCCATTGTTAGCAGAGCTAGTCTTACTGCTTGAGTAAAGAGCTACACTTTTCAAAAGTGAAATTGCAACATCATGAAGGAGTGCATGTAGCTACAAGTACATCTCAAGACTGATAGAGGAGAGGGACATATGCAAATGATTAAAAGAACAAACAATCATATTATATGCAACAGACACCTGTTTGTTCAATAACGAATATGGTTTCCACAGGCAGCTATACAGGCCACAATACAATGAGACATACTATTGTGAGAAATCAGACTTCAATGTAAACAATTTAAAGTCATAACATCAACTTTCACACCTGGGAGTAAATCATTTGTTAAGTTCTAAGCAGTGAAAGCGATACTTTCTCATAACCTCCTGACCTACTATCTCAATTTCTCCAAGTCAATATAGCCAGGAACTGCAAGTTTAGGCAGTCATTACCAGTCACTCTTGAATTAATTAAAGTCATCAAAATTTTCCTGTGTCAGTGCCAATCGTACTTTGTCAGATTTTTACATTACCTCAACTGTGCCTAGAAGAAGAACTTTCTTGATCCAGACCAGTCCAGAATGATCCAAATCCAAACCCTCAAGGTCCTAATCTCAATCTCAAATCAAGAATCTCAGATCAAAGAATCATCACCATCAACATAATAAAGAAAATTGAATAAATTAATAAAACAAAATAATTATAAGTCGTTAAAGTGAAGATATCTGTTTGTTTTAATACAATAAAATAGTTAATAACTGAAACTTGATATAAAGAAATATTACAGAGTATAACAAATTTGTATATGAATTACTTGTAAACTTTTTATTTTATTTAATTAGCTTCCAGTTATTTTATGTTTGTTAAATCCAACGATGGAAGAATATCATTGGCAATTGATTTACAATGCACTTCAACAACCATTTGATGAAAAACAAATAATTACAATAGAGAATTTAGAGAAAATTTCTGTATATGATTATGCTGATGAAATTCGAAAGATTTCTGAACAAGCAACAGCTGAAGCAAGTCTAAAGACATTACTAAAAAAGGTAAATATATACAGTAATGATAATTTTTGAAAATATTATATTAAGTAAAATAATACAGTATTTAAAAGTTTATAGTAGTTTTACTTTATAATCTGTTTAATTTTTTCCTTATTATATCACTAAATTTCATTTTATTACAATTCAAAAGTATTTCGTATATATTAAAAATTATATATTTAATCATTTTGTTTTCATTTAATTTATAATTTATAAATCAAAATTTTATTAAATATTGAAACTTTATTTCATTCTAATATCATCATTTGAAATTATTAATTTCTTTGTATATTTTTTAATCAGTGAATCATTTAACATTCACAACAATACTGTCAATTTTTGCATTTTATTACTTTTTATGCTACTTAAATTCCTATAGATGTTTTGATTATTATTTTAGAATAATATAAATATAATATAAACACATATTTAAATGAGTAAAACAATGTATATTATAGATTTAATATCAGAGCTCTACTAATTTTTAAAAACCTTATTAGAAGTTTTCCTGAACTAAAAAAACAATATATTCTCCAGCTCTTTTATTTATAGTTATTTACATTTTTGCAATTCCTTTAGGTTCATATATAAGTGGTAAAAATATACTTCATTGTTCTATGAGTCTCTGATAACATTGTAAAAGATGTTCTGTAAAATACATATTGGATTTTCTGATAAATGCTGAAAAATTGATATATCTGTTATTGCTAAGAATCTAACCATAACATTAAATGAATGTAGAATAGGGTAGTGATAATTAAAATTTCAGTTAGACAATAAAATATATGAGAACTTGTAGTATAATTCACAAAAAATCAAATTTATCACAAAAAAGCAAAGAAAATTGCCTATAATGTTATGAGTATATAACATAATTTAATTAAATAATAATGTTATAAATAAATGTTTTCAGTTTTATTGTTCAATGTTTTGATTTTTAGGTGAAAATAAAGATATTTGGTTTTGACTTTTTGACTAAGAGCTTCTCTATTTGCTAATAGAAAACTAAACCAGTGTAATAGCAATACTTATTTATATGAGTTGATTGGAAAGTAAAGATCAATTGCAAGTTACACTTTGCTTACATACATTTTATTCAAACTTATACATCTATAAATAGTAGTCAGTTCAATACAGTGATCATTTGGCTTTTTATTCAAACAGATAGCAAAATAAAAGTCTATTTTTCTCCATCTTCTAAATGATTCAAGCACTTGATAATGTGACACCAATTATTTTATGCTCCTGTGTAAAAAATGTGGAGCTTTGCAATCAGAATCATTCTCTCATAGTCGGATTTAGCACTTGAGAGGCCCCAGGCACAATTCAATTTTGAGGCCACCCTCTAAATATTTTCACTACCCCTGCACCCTACATTGTGCATTCTATGTGCAAGTTTTTCTCTGGTAGGCACTATACCAGTGGTCCAAGAAAAGTAAGATATAGGGAAATAACATTGAAAATTAACCAATATAAAATTACAACAGCCTGGCTGTATTTAGAAGGTTTCTGATGTTCAGATTGTATTAATTATAAAAATTGAAAATTATTGGTACAAGAATTACTAAGTTTCAATAAGTAAAAGTGTTAAAAACAAAAAAAATCTAGTAATCAATGGATATAAAAAAAATAATTTATTTTAAAATTTACTACTGATTACCACCTGCAAAACATGTCATAGCTGGCATTATTCATTTGTCAATTTAATTTAGGGAATACTGCTAAATTATTAATTACCTTTATTATGAAAAAATAAGAATTAAACTAAATAATTTTTTATTTTGAGAGCTGAATTTTGTGACCCTAGACATGCACCTCGTGTGCCTGTGCAGAAATCCACCACTGCTCATAGTTGCTTGGACTTCCATCACTCTGGAATCACCAATAGCCAAATGTTTAGGTTCAAATGCATGAAACCACTTGGTGACAGGTCTGTTGCTGAAATTTGGATGAAAATATGTGAATCATCTACCATATGGCCATATGGTAGATGATTCACACATTTTCATTCAAATTTCAGCAACAAGTGTTTGTCTATAGAGCTGTAAGAAACCTTATGTTGTTGTTAAAAAGCATACCTCTTTTTGAAAGATGTGCAAGTTTCTTACTGTAAATGGTCTATCAAAAACATTGAAGTGTAGTACAGTATTAATGAATCACTTATTATGTGCCATGTTTCATGAACTCCAGTAACAGCTCATTGTGGGAATCTCAAATCATGATGACTATAGATCTGGTATAGTTAGTATGCTTCTATTCCATAAATGCTTTCTTCATTTCTGAGGTTAATTGGTATATTTAGATTCATTCAGGCTTTGTTGTCTGTAATTGAGCAGTTAAAGCAGTTTATTCCTTTTACTTCACTTTTTTCTGACATTGTCTGTTTGGTGTGTTTTCAAATTATTCATAAGCTATCTTGGTATTTAGTAAGCAAAAAACGTTTTGATGGTGCATCTTATTGTGAACAGTGGCATATGTTACCTCCTGATGTCCAACACAGTAGCAAGATAATGCAAAGTCACTTGTCTACTTTCAGAAATAAGCTGATCAATTCTTATAGCATTGACTTTCAATTTCAATGTCCTTAGTCTTCCAATTTGATCTTCATTGTAAACATTAATTAGCCCTTCCTCAAATCTTTCAAACTATTTGCAACATGGCAATTTGTAACACTTTCTGTATACTTCAATGAATTGTCAATAAATTTCTGTTACAGATGTTTGTTTTAGAAGAAAGAAATTGGATAATAGCACACTATCTTTCTAGTCATAGATGTGAAGCTATTGCTTCACATCTATGAGACACAGGCTGTGACAGAAGCCATCATTTTTATAGGATAATTAAAATTATACATTAAACATGATTTTTAACTGAATATCAAACAGAAAATATTAAGCAATAATAAAATTAATTAATAATTGTTTTAAAATTGCATTATTAATTACTATAATAATTTCAATCTTTATTGTTCATTTTAAAGGTTAAAGATGCATGGGAGAGAACAGAATATGTTGTCTTACCATATAAATCTGGCAAGGATGTGTATATTTTGGGAGGAACTGATGACATACAAGCTTTATTAGAAGATTCAATAATGACTATAGCAACAATTCAGGCATCTAAACACGTTACTCCCATTAAGAGTGAAGTAGAAGAATGGAGTAGACGTCTAGAATTATTTGCTGAAACATTGGTAAATTAAACTTTTTAAACAATTAAATATAATGAGAATCTAAGAATATGATTAAAAATTTACACTTACACATATTTTGTTCATCATATATGATGTGCTATTGATCACATGCACAATAACAATAACTCAATAGATAAATTAAAAAACAGAAAATGCTAATAAACCTTAAAGGGTCACTTTTTATTGCAATAAAATGTTTTTCTAGCTAATTCTTATCTCATTTTCAGATACAGGCAAAAGTTTGAAGATCAGAATATATTAAATAGTTAATTAGTATGTATGTTAATTTATTTTACATAGTTAACACAAATTTTTAAATTTATTAATGTGTCTTTTTGTGTGAATAAAATTCAAAATTATCATTTAATGTGTTTTATTCTTTGAACTTTTTAGTGTGGATCTGAAGATAAGACATGAATTATCTTGAAAAATGCTTAATTACAATAAAAAGCAACTTCTTAAAAGTTTTTAACATTTTCTGATTTTAAATTATAAAATTTAAGTATTTTTAACTCTAAATGATTATAGCAAAATTCAGTTATTGATTCATTTATTTATTTATTTATTTTTTTGAAGATTACAAAATTTTCACATAAATATTACTGAAAATTTATTTTGTAGTTAATATGCATAGCAATTTTATTTTTACAGAAGTTTTTATTTCCAATGCCTCCATTGATTCATCTTTATAATTTAACTTTTAATAAAGTATTTGTATTTTGATTTATATTTCTACCTATCTCTTATTATTCATAATCTCAGTATGACAAATTTCAATTAAATTTGGTCATTTTCTTATGTGACGTTTAAAACTTTGTCGTAGTAATGGCACAGTAAGATCCTACTTAACGCGGGGGATGCATTCCTATACGACAAAACGCACTAAGTGAAACAGCATTAAACAAGATCATTTTAACAGAGTAAATAGGGAAAGGGGAACAAGTGACCAAAAATTAACAAATTTTACTGTAATTTTAAGTTATTTTTATATTAATTTGCATAATAATATATGTTAAATAACACATAAACATATGCACACAGAAATGTAAAGTTCATTTTTTTGTGATGAAGGTCCTGGCTTTTTTGAAATTCTTGTTTTTTGTGATAAAGTCGTGTAGTTTCATTTGTCGCTTTTTTTTTCTTTCCATAAACAAATGTCAGTAGCGGATGATCACATCCAAAACACCTTGTTTTGCTTTTGCACCCCTTTCAAAGTCAGGATCATTCACTACAATTTGATCAACGATTTTGGTTATCATTACCAAACTTTTACTAAAGAAATCTGTAGCAAGTTCTTTGGGTTCCTTGTTTTCAGTACCTCTATTTTTAAGTTCTACACGAATTCCTTGTTCTGTCAGTTTTTGAAGTCATCATTGGTAAGGCTCTAGTAGAAACCTGCAGTAACTCCCCAATATCCTGTTCATCTACATCTCTTGTATTAATTAAGTTGACAATTTTGTCAACCTAACAATACATTGAAAGGCTCTTCTCGATGAGAATTCTTGGATACCTTCAGCCATAACGTATTCCACGCTCCCTCCGTTCATGCATTTATCAGTTAATTCTTGCCAAGCCAAGTCAATATTTTCTATGGTATCCATGATATTATATTTTTTCCAAAATTGCATGAAACAAACATAGATTTAAGGGAGGTACAGCACTATGACTAATTTCTACCTTTTGCTGATTGGATTGTGTTTGGGAATAATCGTATTATATACAAATCAATGAATTATTGTGTTAATTTGAATCAGTGTAAATTTTGAGTGGTTTTTTAGAACCCAGTTGAAAATTATCTTCATTTTGATTTTACAAAGTATAAATACATTTGTCAATGTTTTTTATATAATGTGTAAGGTTGCCAACTTTTAGGGGCAATAAGTTAATTGTGCGTCAGGAAAACCTAGGGGCGAATCGTATGTGGGTGGCGGTGGCAGAGGCAAAGATGACAAGTGTCTTACAAAACCATTTATTTTTGTCATAAAATTAACTTACATAATAATGGCACAGAAAATTCGATCTAGATTGTTTTTTGCTGGGAACTCCCGATGTCAGTGGATGGGTGAAGGCTGGTGTCTGAAGTTGTGTGTCCTGGGTCCTTGATAGAGGAGTGTCCATTGCAAAGGAGGTGACTCTGATGGGTGATGCTGCAGATGGATGGAGATCTTGGGCCACTGGTGGAAACACTTGTCTGGAGGAGAACTGCCGCTTGACCTTGAGACCCGGTGGTTTTTTATAGGATTTTCCCCCAAATCTCACCCTTTCGATTGGTCCTGTTCACTCTTTCTCTTACCCCGATTGGTCATTCTTTTGTCTCTAGGCAAAAACCAAGACTGATCTGGATCGGGAAAGGTCCGAGAGGTGTCAACGTAGCCTTTGAAATCTGCACTTGTATTTTACTCTGTTATGGCCCTTTTCCTGATGTTTTTGAATCTAAACGATCTACCAGATGTTATGGTGGCCATTTACCTCCCAACGGGTTCGGGCTAACATGACTTAACAGATGTCCTTTTGGTCATTAACCCATTTTTCTTGATTGTTTAGACCCAACACTTGTTTGCGAGCATCTTGACAAAGCTCTCTCTCTCTCTGTTGACATTCCCCTCTGCCGTTTATCATCGTGTTGCGTTTGTTTTACAATAAGTAAGAAAGTTTTCTTCCTGTCTGGGTTTTGTCACCAACATACTCCCTTGACCCGATTTGACCTCTGAATCTCTCTGACTTAGGATTGTAAGGGTTGTAAAAGTGACATCAAAATTTTGATGCACTTTTACAACCCTTACAATGTATAATTAATTTCTTTCATGTAATATTGTCAGACTTTATTGTTTACATCTTTTTATTTAATTTTTTACATGTTTTTAAATGTTTAAGTAAGTGTATATTTATATTTTTCTATTGTCTTTTTATTTTATCATTGTTATTTTTTTTTATTTTTAATTATTGTTAGTTTTGGGTAAATTGTAATGGGGGTGGATATCACTGTTTTTCCACATTTCCTAACATGTGTAATATAAATAAATAAATTTAAGTAATGTAATATTTGTTTGGAGAGAGAGAGAGAGAGCTCCGATTTCTGTTTTCTATCTTCTTGACTAATGTCTGCTCAGTGTGGAGTGTAGCACTTTTGATCTTACCTTTGATGCTTAATGAAAGGTTTTTATTATGTGTATGGATTCTAGTTGAAGAAGCTAACATAAAATATATTTATTATTATTTTCTGTATATTAAATTTTCTTTTTTATTTTTTCTGTTAATTATAAAATTATTTACATGTGAAATTTTATGATAAGTCAAACTATTTTCCCATTTCATTTTATTTCATAAGCAGTATTGTTTCTTGAGATACATAATAAATCACTTATTATATTTTCTTTTAAGAATTTAAATTTATTCAATGCACATTTTATTATAATTTTGTTATTTTAGATTATGATTTTTCTTATAGGAAGAATGGTTAAATTGCCAGAAAAGTTGGATATATTTAGAAAATATATTTAGTGCACCTGATATTCAGCGTCATGTTCCCGTAGCTGCAAAGTTATTTTCAGATGTAGATAAGTCATGGAAAGAAATTATGGCAAGAGTAAATAGAATACCGTTAGCTATGAGAATTACTACACAACAAGGTAAATAAATAACAAACCTAAATCTAAACTTTGAAATGACTTTAGTATGATTTACATAACAGATAAAATTCAATAATAATGTCATTTAAAGTGCTGTAGAGACAATTTTTGAGTTTAATGAAATTTATTGAGAAAGATGTGTCATATTTAAAAGAATATAAGTATTTTTAATTTATAAAATAGTCTTATTAACAAAAGCCTATTCTAACTGAAAAAATCAAATGATAATAATCTAAAATGTTAAAACTTATATTGATATCATTATTTGTCAGCTGTTTTCTAGATACAAATTTATAGCACAATAACATTTCTCATAAATTTTTTAAAACATTTTCTATCTGCAGACTAAAAATGTAATGTAGGGTCCAAAATAAATTTTAGGAACTGAGCTTGATGTACTTGATCAATTCATCTATGAAAATTTCTAACTTATCAATAATAATAAACGACACTTTTAGCCACAACTTTAATTTAGATAGAGTTAGATAACCTAATAAATAAGTTTTTAACAATTTGGAGAGCTTATCATACCAAGGCTGACCAAAAAATAGACCAGACCTTTTATAAAAAAAATTAGTCTTTAATAATCACCATCAAATTTAGGAAAGGATGCATTTCGGGTGCAAGGACCCTTCATCAGCTTACAAACACATAGTACCAACATAGTACCAACTTAGCATACATACAATTATAACACTGATAGTTAACCAATACAAAGGGATTTTTTGATATATACAGTGCACTGTATTTACAATAGTTAATACAACCCATATACTAAAGAACTAAAAACTATCAAGCATAAAATTTATAACACCAACTCGTATCTATAAACCTTTTACTGGTGCGCGTATCACCACACTCTACAACAGTTACAAATGTTTTCAAACCATTACAGTTCTTCTTCAGGTAACAATCCCCTAACGGAATGCGGTTCAAAGTTGTTACGAAATACGATCCGGAATGATGTCCCAACCTGACGACATCACTACGGACTTGTGCATTATGCATGGTGTACTCTATCTTAGAGATTTATCTATTAGGGCCTGCCAGGCCATTGATAGAGCGATTTCATCCTTGTAGTTAATGCAATTACGTCCTTCACTCATGTTTAGGCATATGTAGATCACCTCCAGCCATCTGAGTTGGTTTGTATGGTGGGTGGTGTGAATGACCTTCGCTTGAGAGAATATGGGTTCTATGTCAGGATCTGACGAGTATACAGCAAGAGCTGTGTTGGTTCTTTCATGGTTGATATCCGCTTTATGCTCTTTGATCCGGGTTACTAGGGGGCGTTTAGTTGATCCTATGTAGATCATATTTCTATCACACCTGTGATCAATGATAGGGATAGTGTAGATGCTGGGGAGCTTATTTCGGTCTGGGGTGTCTTTTCCGTTCTTTAACAAATCAAAACTCGTAGCGCATCTTCTAAATGTAATACGGATATTCCTTTTCTTAGCTATCTCCTTGTATATGGATTTTAGAACCGGATTATATGTGATAGGGATGTTGCTACTAGGAGTAACATTGGAGAGTTGGTGACGGTTTGCTTCCTGCTGCGTTTTTGCGTTCAGTTTATTTATGAGCCCATGGTGTCCGTGCTGTTTGGCTATATCCTCTATGCATTTCATTTCGGACCAGAGTGCTGTTTGGGACAAGGAATGTGTGTGTGCGCCCTTCTGATCAAGGCTTTGAACGCTGTGACTTTGTTTTGTGGAGGGTCACGTGACCTTGCTGGTATGTATAAATCAGCTGAAGTCAGTTTGCGATAAACCTCTGTGTGGACAGTTGCGCTCTCAATCTTAATGTTAATGTCCAGGAAGTGAGCCTCTGTGGGATGTGCCTGGACATTAATAAATCTTATCATATATATGTCATGTCTGTTCCTATCATTTTTTATCATTTAAATGGGCTAAATGATGTCAGTTGATATTTTTACTAGAGTTTTATTTGAATAATCATACTTCACATTTTTGAAGTTACAGAATAATTTTCTTGTGATTGACTAGAACAAATTGTATAGAAAATGTGTAATTGACAATTTTAGCTGTTTTATATACATTCTCTGTTCAATTAGAAGGAAAAAGTTCTGCAATTTTAAAAATCCAAAGAAGTTTGACTACTGAAATGAAAATATTTGAAATTAATAAATTAAATTAAATACAACTTTTAAATGTGTTTATGTAAATTTTTCATAAACTATAATTGCCCAATGTTCTGGCAGTATTACCTTATATTCTTTCTCTTTTAGCCTTATCTTATATAAATTTAAATTTTAAAAAATGTATTATTAGCTTATTATGTTATTTTTTTTTTAATTTTATAAATTTATAATTGATATTTGTTCATAAATAAATAAAATTTTTAAAAACTATTTCAAGTATTTATTTTAATTAAATAGGTATGATAGAAGAGTTTCAAAGCAATAAAGCACAGTTGGATCAAATAAATGCTTGTTTGGAAGCTTATTTGGAGTCAAAGCGTGTCGTGTTTCCAAGATTTTATTTTCTATCCAATGATGAACTTTTAGATATATTATCTGAAACAAGAAACCCACTAGCTGTTCAGATTTATCTCAGGAAATGTTTTGATGCAGTAGCTGAATTGGAATTTGGAACTGAAGGTAAAAATACAGGATATATTTTTATATTATAAGTATGCAATATTATTTATTTTCATTCAGTTTCCCATTTATTCATAAAAATGTTTCTTTGAAGTATCAACTGTAAAATATTCTTTCAAAATTAAGGTATTCCATATGAAACTACAGCATGTTATTCTCTAGAAAACAAAATGGAGTAGCAGAAAAGAAAAATAGATATCTACCAGAGATGACAATATTTGTGTTAATTGATACTGGATTACTCAACAAATACTTGAGTACTTGAGTCCAAAAGAGAAAAGGCTGTCTTATGACTTAGCCCTTGGAAGTTGGAAGTTGAAGAGGGGGTATGGAGGAGAGGAAGTTGTGGTTTGAAAGGAAAGTGAAAGCATAGAAGGGGAGTGTGAAGGGTGGGATCTCATTGGCGTGTTACATCGCAATTATTTTAGACAAAACATTGATATTTACAGGGAACAATTTGGTCTGATGAGACATGACGATACAGAGGATACAATTGGGATACATAATCACAATACCGCAGATAGAAGGTAACATACCCTTGCTAGAGGTAAATAACACAGGTTTTGTATAATCCAAGGTACATAGATAAAGTATTATATATAATCCTAAGTACATAGATAAGGTTTTGTAGATGGAGAGGACGACATCGCGTTACAGTAGGGTAGTACTTCATAAGTTAAAGTCCGATGCGCCTATTTACACATTGCAGGCTGAGAGGACAACCTAGTACAACAGTAGGGTCGCCCTGCGTAGAGGAGTGGTGGCCGGTTACTGCGAGCCTCCATACAGGCTTGGTCGCTGGAATGATCAAAGATCCTGCACTTGGTGATAAATTTTTCAAGCAGTGAATAGTTCCTTTTGGTGCTGAGAAAGTCCTCCCATGGTGGGGGGCCAAGTCTTCCCGTTCTCCGTGCACTGAGTGATTAGTTTGCCCCTAGGTGCATCATATAGTGGACAGTCCAAGAGTGTATGGCTGATGTCACCTATTGTCGTGCTGTCACAGCTGCAGTAATCATTGTCTCTTTTCTTGATGCGGTGTAGGTAACTAGGAAGATTCCCATGGCCGGTTAGAAGCTGAGTCATGCAGTAGGAAGGGGTGAGGTAGCCCATGGCTTGGCGACCAGTGATGGATGGTAAGAAGCGGTAGGTGGTCCTTCCTGTTGACGAGTTAGACCAGTCCTTTTGCCATTCTTTATTGATCTTCTCTTTTATGTACCTGTGTATATAACTGATGGGGAGCTTATCAAAAGTGATAGATAGTTGGTTGCTGCTGGCGGCCTTTTTAGCCAGCATATCAGCCCTATCGTTTCCTTGGGAGCCAGAGTGCCCGGGAACCCAGCAGAAAGTGATTTGTCTCTGCTTGCCTAAGTGTCTTGCAAGATGCTGGATGTTCACTTCTGTTTTAGTGTTCTTTTTACTGCCATTTATGCTGTTTAATACGTAGCGACTGTCCATGGAGATGTTTATTGGGCCCTTGAAATTTTTGATGTTTTTGGAGATGTAGAGTAGGGCCCTTTCCATGGCCCATAGCTCGGCCTGATTAACGGTGCAAAAGTCTGCCAACTTGTAGTACTCTTCGTGTGCCACGGCTTTTTGGTTATTATAAATGACCATTGCCGCCCCAGTGCCACCATCGTTCTTGGCACCATCAGTGAATATCTCCCAGTTGAACTTGGGGTGGTTGCTCTCTTCTTTCATGTTAACATGAATACTGCTCCTTTCCGCAAAGTGATTTTGGTCAGTGACACTGTTAATATAGCTGTCTATACTGTATTTGCTTTTTTTTTCCTTTACCTCTTGATCCTCCTGACCCAACAAATACTAGGGAGAAACAGTGAATAACACAAATTATCTAAAGAATAGATTAAATATTAGCAAGTGAAACAATTGTGTATGAAAAATGGCATGGAAAGTATCCAAACCTCTCTCATATAAGAATTTTCAGATGCTTATCCTACGTTATTAACTCTAAAGAAACACATAAGAAAGTAGAATCTGAAGCTACAAAACTAATTTTTGTAGAATACAAGAGAGCATCAAAAGCTTACTAATTAGTTGACAGAAAAATATAGGATAACCATAGGCAGAAATGTTTACTTTTTGGAAAACAGCAAACACAAAGACTTCAAAGTTGATGTACACAATAATAAAATCTCAAAACAAGTTAAAATAGGTAATAACATTAATTAAAAAGAACAACATGAAACAAACATTTAAACAAGAAAGGGAAGAAACTGGCATAAATTTAAGGATATCATAAAGAATTACTTACAGAGTATCACCCATAAGGTGAATAGAAACAATCATCTTATTAGTGAAAGAGGATGCAGTAGAATCAAGAGAAATGTAGCAAGGCAATCACAGGTAAATGCTCCAAAGAATGGATTTAAACCATAAATAAGGAAATAACATCCATGCAGCACAACAGCACACAAAACATAACCAAAATATCATTTTATAAGCAAATTAAAAAATTCAGAAGAAATTAATTTAATTCATTCTCCAAGTCAACTAATGACAGCTGACTTGTTAACCAAATTGTTTGATGCAAATAAGAAAAATAAATTTACTTCTTTTTATTATAACACATCCCCCTCATTGATTGATCATTAATATAATCCAATAGCATAATATATTATATTAATGATCAATCAATGAGGGGGATGTGTTATAATAAAACAATTGAAGTTATTAATATGTTTATATCACATTTTATTATAACAATTTTGTAACAACTTTTTCTATTATATAATAAACAGTTTGTGGTGCTGGTGACCTATTAGGGAACTGTTAATCATGGTAACCTTCTTTTATTCTCCTCCTTTCTAATACTGACCTTCTGTTAGACAAGTTATGTAATTTTTCTTTTTTTTTTACATAACCTGTTCTATGAATTTAACCAGTTATATCACAATTGCCTACAAGCAGAACATGTCTAACATAATAAGATTTTAATTTTTAAAATTTTGTATTTGTTGTTACAGTAATAGAACATCTGAGCAATTTAGAATATTTCTGTATTTGTGTTGCTGATGATGGACATTAGGCTTGAAAACATTTCAGTTTAAAAACTTTTTGACTTATTGAAGAAAATTAGGAAATTATTGTTGTTTTTTGTTACATCTAATTTCAACATTTTATCTAACTTTCTAGAAAAATTTATTTAACATTTTTTTAATTGAATGTAAAAGTATCTAAAATAAATTGATGCAAAAAAACAAAAATTGTTTTTATTAGTTAAAATTTATAAATTGTTATTGTAAACTGCTATTTTGTAACAGTTATTGAAGAAGAAATGGAAAGTCAGGATGTGGAAATACTTTATATTCAAGCTGTTATATCTCCAGAAAAGGAAAAACTTTATTTTTCACAGGTAAAAAGCTAATTCATGACAATTAATAAAAGTAAATTCTGTTATTAATTACTGTTAAAATTGATATTAAATTTAACTCTTTGTTATAATTACAAAAATACTGAAAAATTCTTATTGGTAACAAGTTTTATTTAATTATAAACATTTTTAAAACCTATAAATTACAGATTAACTTATTGTCTGTTTTAATGTCCTTGATATAAAAATTTGTAGATATTCATATAATAATAATAATTTTTTAAATTTATGAATTTTGATGTAAATGTATATCATTCTGCTATATATTTTTTGTGATAAACATAATGTAAAAAGTATGTATTATATGAGGGCATAATTTATCAACAAATACGATTATAATTATGCTTCTAAAACATGAACTCTATTTATTGTATATATGATTTTTCAATTTAAACTGCAAGAATAAAAATGGAAACAGAATTGTAAAAAATCAAGTATCTGAACATTATTAAAATCTGATATTTTTTTATATTTGGATTAGACTTTTTTTTTGGAAACTTTAAAAGCTGTGAAGAATGTTTAATTATATACAGCCACTCCTCATGTAATGACCACTTGGATGTACTGTACAACTGACTCTCCAACACAGGGAATCTCCCTTTCTAAATTTCAGTCTAGTTCTTAAAGTCAGTACTCACTACACAAAGCAATCTCCAAAACTACATATTTCATTTATAAATTTGAACCTTTTCTCTTTTTGTGCATCTCATTTGAAGGACTTGATAACTAAAATATTAACCTGAATATTTTTTATTTGTGAATGAATTTCTTTGGTACATCATTTTCATAATTTTTGCCGATTGTGTTTTTATATTCTGTAATACGTAAATGATGCAAATTAAAACAGTTATCAAATTGGAGTTTCCTCTAGATTTTTTCTATATCCAGAATAAATGAAAAGGATTAAACTTCTTATTGATATTTAATGAACAATTTGCTTAACAATTTAATTAATCATATGATCAGAACTCAGTTGTTAAGTGAGTAGTGGCTGGCCGTAATAGAAATTATGGTTTTTAATTTTAGCAGTTTATTGTGTATATTTAAGACAATTGAAGTTAAAACATTCATTTCTAAGCAAGTGTTACCTTAAATGTGTTGGCATTTTTACATGAAATACATGAAACCCATTTCACCACCAGATATTTAGGAAAACAAAGTATTTAGTGTATTTAAGCCATCTTGCATCTTTTGCACTTGGCCTCAAAATTCTTTTACTCTATTCTGTGTACAAAATATAAAATTAGAATGTACACTTTTATTTATCAGGGAAAAAAAAGGAGTTTAAAAGAAGTCATTTACCATTAAAATATTAAAATCAATACATGCAAAAGCTGCTTAGCTATAACAAATAATAATAATAATAATATGCTTAATTAAACAATAACTGTAACTCAAGATTTAGGCTAGGTAGTAGGTTACCTGTAGCCTACTGACAACTTCCAACAAATGTTGTTAGCTTATGGGACTTCATATACTAGATGCAGGACAATTTTTTGAGCCCTTTTTTTTGGAAAAAATTGCATCTTATATGCCATAAAATAAAATAGTAATAAAATAAATAAGTAATAACTAATATATGAAACTCAAATAAGATATTTTTTAAATATTTGATTTCTTTTTATGTTTCACACTTACTAAAAATGTGTTTTTGTAAAATTATGTCTTGATTAAATTCAAAAATTTTATCTATTAAAAATAAAATAGATTATAGAGTTAAATTGAATATAGATAAAAAGTTATTAATATTTTAAATAATATTTTGTGTATGCTTATTGTAGAGAAAATTAAATAAAATAAGGAATTTTTGATCTTACTTGTGTATGGTCTCATGAGCAATGTTTTGCAAAATGAAATTCTTTACACCAGTGGTCACCAACCTTTCTAACCTCACGGACCACTAAATTTATAATTTTGAATCCTGTGGACCATTATTAAGAATTTTTTTTAAACGATGCAAACATCTATAGAATAATGATCATAAAAGTTCCATTTTACTTTTTTAATATGAAATTTACTTGTTTAATTATACGTAGGCTGTTTTTTTTTCAAGCTCTGATGGTCCATAAAAAAAAGACAAGTGTAAATAACAAAATGAATTTATTACCAAAAGTTAGGTACAAACATGGTTACTTTTTGACATAATCACTGTGAAGATTGAGACATTTGTCAAATCTGTGGATGAGCTTTTCCATCCCCTTGTCATAGAATGCTGCCATCAATGACTTGAGATGGGCCCTAACGTTTTTTTTTGAAGATCGTCATTAGTCTCGAACCTCTGTCCTCCTAGCTACTTTTCCTGTTCAGGAAAGAGGTGGAAGTCACTTGGTGCTAAATTGGGGCTATATGCTGGGTGTTTAAAGGTGATGAAGACTTCCATCTTTCAGATTTCCACCTTTCAGACTTCCACCTTTCAGACTTCCACCCATCTTAAAAACTTTTTAATGTGTGAAGACTTGCACATCTTTCCTGAACTGAAAACATGGCTAGCAGGACAGAGGTTTGAGACTAATAAATTAATGACGATCTTCAAAACAACGCTGTTAAGGCCATCTCAATTCACTGGCGGCAACATTTTATGACAAGGAGATGGAAAAGCTTGTTCACAGATATGACAAATTCCTCAATCTTCACGGTGATTATGTCAAAAAGTAACCATGTTTGTACCTAACCTTGGTAATAAATTCATTTTGTTATTTACACTTGTCTTTATTTTATGGACCATTGGAGTTTGAAAAAAAAATTGCCCTTGTAACAAGTTAGTGTGAAGTTGGAAATAAGTTTATGAATTCTTTGCTTTTTTTCACAAAAGACTACTATCACACTCATCTTATTTATTGATTTATAGACATTATTATTTATTGATAAATCATTTCGTGTTTGGTTTTAGATTAAAAAAAAAAAATCCCCAATGAGTGAGAAAAAGCAACCAAGCATTTTGCATTTCTTTCATAATACTTCGTGTAACCTTGAGTTGATCAATGTTTAAATTTCTCCACTGACCACCAGTTGGTGGCCACTGCTTTACACTGTATAACAGTGATGCCGAAACTATGGCACCTGAGTCAAACCCAGCCCACAAACACATTTGATACATCACTTATAAATGACTGAATAGACTTATTTTTATATAATTTATACAGAGTATAGAAAATATTTGTGATCAGTCTAGCTATGATTTATGCAAAATTTGGCCCATGAATCAAAACATTTCAGTTCCATTGTTGTATACTATCATGTGCTATTTTAAAGTAGTTTAAAATATAATAATTGTTGAAAATATAAGATACAATACAATTTTAATTCTAATTCTCTTAACATATTATTTAACTTTTTGGTAATTTGAGTTCTAGATTTTACATTAATTAATTTACTTTATATATTGTTATTTCATTGAAGATTTGTTAAATATTTTAAATGTTAATAAATATAAATTTAGAGTTTAAAGACAAGAAGTAAAGTTGAAGAATGGTTAATAACAATGGAAGAAACAANAAGAATTTTTTTTAAACGATGCAAACATCTATAGAATAATGATCATAAAAGTTCCATTTTACTTTTTTAATATGAAATTTACTTGTTTAATTATAACAAATTAAAAATGACTTTTATAATATTAATAATATAAAAGTCATTATAGATGTGTGTGAATTTCCTGTAACTCCTGCCATTTTTGTCTAATATAGATGAAATTTTGGTTATATTGCTTATATATTCTGATGGAAAGTATAGGCTACTTGATTTGCAGAACTATTAGCTATAAAATGGATTTAATTGATTTCAGCTCAGTGGCATTATTTGCCTTAAGTGGCATTTTTAAATATTTTGGCAAATAGTATAATTTTAAATTTACTTTATTAAATTTTAAAAAATAGTCATTTTACTTCTACAACAAAGCTTTAAAAAGTTTCCATAATGACTATGTGATGTTCTGTTATCCAATCAGAAGTAATGATTTAACAAGCCTCTTATAATGTATTATTATCAAGCATCAGTTATATTCCAGGTACTTAATTTGAGAAATATTAGCTACTCTTTTTGAATTTCATGAAACCTCTACTCAACTCAATTCTTCAATCTCTACTTTCTTATTAAAAGTAGAGATTGAAGAATTGATAGAGAGTAGTCCATCATGCTTGATAGGGGAATTTCTAGTGTTGTCATGTTTTGTTAACAGTAATAACTTAAAAGATTGAATTTGAAAAAATTTATTTTAAAATTTTTTAAAAATAAAAAAATTTATTTAAATTAATAATTAAAAATATGATTAGTTTCTGTGGAGAATTCAGTAGGATGTAGGTTTTAATTGTATTATTCAAAAAATTTCATTTTAATTACTACTATGAATTATAAGTCAAAGTGGATTATTATCTATTTTAAAAAATTCTCAGATATTGATTTATTTTTAAAATTTCTATTTACAGTATTTTGGTGTTTTGGAGAAAAAATTGATTATCTTTACAATCTGTTTTACATTTTGTACTGGCCTGTACTTTACATATGCTTTAAATTAGGTTAGAATTTTAGTAGTCTCTCTACTAGAGAGTATCACTAAAATCAAGAAGAGAGTGACTGTTTGATCTCTGTATATTATATAACTGCCTCATTGCATTTATATTGAGAATTACTGCTGTAAAATATAACATATGATAGTTATAGTTCATAGCTACATGATACAATTATTCTAATTAATTTCTGATATTAAAACACACTTGGATGCTTTCAAGTTGACAATATTTGTCTACAGAAACTTTTCAGATCTTTTTTAACTAAAAAATTTGAGTAACTATTCTTTTAATATTTCTATACTTTGGATGAATTATTTTAGTTGAATTTTACAATGGAGTTGCATTCTTGATATGAGAAGGATCAAATAAAATTATGAAATGAAAGATATACTTTTAATGAATGATTCTATTTATTATTTTTAATTACAGGTCATTTTAACAGTTTCACAGATTAAATGGTGCCAAGAAGTCACTAATTCCTTTAAGTTGAAATCTCGAGCAGTGACAAAACTGCAAGAAATTGAAGATAACAGTTTTACTGTAAGCTTAATTTGTAACAACATTATTTTTAATGTGAATGAAATTTGGCACTCTATTTAAATAAAAAGTAACTAATAGATATTCTCTTCACTTCAGTTGTTCAGCTGAAGATGGCTGAACAATAGATTAAAATATTTTTAATGAATTATTATTTTTGCTTCCTTAACAAGTAGTTTTAGTTTCCTTTTGTTTAATAGTATAATATATGGGTAAAATATCATTAAATAGTTAAATTTTATAGGAATTATGGTAATCAAAGAAGTTTTTATGAGAAGTTGGAGAAGATTTAATTAAGATATGTGATAACTATTCTGAAAAAATATTAAAATGATGTCTCTTCAAAATTTTATTAAGAGAAAAATTTTTATAAAGAATCTACAACGAAAACTTAACTCCTCTGTTTTAATTGTGTTTCTATAGTGTGAAAGATACATAGGGAAACTACAATTATTTATGCTTGTCTTTATTTGTAATGTTTTGTATTTTTAAAAGCTTTCTATAAGTTTAATTTGCAACATAAGAGCTATTACAACTGTTAAACAAGTTAAATACTAACAAGAATGCTCTAATCATCAGCAGTGTTTAATTAAATAAACTGTGAGATATGTAAGTTTGTAAAGCAATGAGTAAACACCAAATCCAGTTATAAACAAAAAAACTTTTATTTCATATCTTGTATTGTTAAAGTAAAAATTGTTGTGAGATGATTTTGGGGCATGTGAGTTAAGACCAGTGTGTGTATGTATATATATGAACACTCCTAAATCATTTGATGATAAAATGAAAAATGTTATCAGTTTAGGTGATCTTAAAAATGAAAAGTTTAGTTGATGAAAGGGACTTGTTTGATTGCCATGTTCTGCATTTGCATTGATATCGTAATAGTTCTACACAGGACCAAAGGATCATTTAAGTATTAGAGTAGTTTGAAGGAGGTGAGATTCATTTGTATCTGACAGTTTCTGATGATAGGAGGCAGGTAAGTCTTTGAAGATGTAAGATTGCACCCATCCTCTATTTTTCTCCCCAGTCATCAAAAACTGTCTGAAAATAATTCCTGTGTATTTGCAAAAGGTTTAAACTTTTGATCTAATGACGTAACTAGGGAGAGGGAATATCAATTTCTGATAACTGAGGATGATGAGGGGGAGAGGATTGAAAAAGGATAACCGGCTTTCGGATAAACGATGCTCTACTGTAAATGTATATGTTTTGGAAGTTTTAGTTTATTTCAAACATGATAGTTAAGCTCAAAAAGGGAACTTGGTGGTAGTTTTCATTGTCATTTTAAAGACACAATTTTCCTAAAATTTAAACAAATTATTCACAGATAAGCTAAACTGAATGTGTTTTTGCTAATGAAATAAAATTTTTATTTCCAATAGCAATAACACAACTGCTGAAGTTTTTTTGTGTTTTTCTCAAAAATATAAAATTATTACATTCTCTTTTTGATCTCATTGCTTTAGTTGTAATGCATGTGATTCTATTTATTTAGAATTTAAAACAAATTGCCTCCTTTATAAAAGAAAATATTGATGATGTAACAAGGCAGAAATTGTGTGCATTAATTTCCATTGATATTTATGGAAGAGATGTGGTCACTTCAATGGTAAAGAAAAAGGTAAATATAATATCTTTATTTATGATATAATTGATTGCCTAAAAATCTTAGTTAAATAAATGAAACAAAGTTTTTAATCAATAAAAGTTTTAAAATTTAATACATAAACATTAAATATGTGAGGTTGCCGAACCACATGTGACGTCAGAATGTCGAAGTCACTCTGAAGCATGAGTGGGAGCATTTTGCACAGAGACAAACTCCACAGTTACAAATAGTTACCTGGTTTATTATAACCCAAAAGAATAAGCTCACAGCTACAACAGTCAACAGTAGGCAAAATCAAGTCTTTTAATTTATTTTGTCCCTCGAAGAGTGAATCCCATTGGAACTATTCTTTCAGATCCCTTTTGGAAAGTCGCTGGCCCCAGGGTATTGGAAGGAGAAAGTCCGTCACAAGGTTGAGGTGCAATCTAGTTTGATACCAATATGCAGAAGCGATTTCTTTTTAGTGTATGGTGCCACACAATAGGAAGATGGAGAGAAGCTCTCCGTGTCCTTGAAAATGCCCATTTTATAAGTTTTTCAAATCACAGACTGAACCTTCTGATAGGTCATTTCCGCCTCACCTCTGCTTTCCAATTGGTCTTCACTTATTACGAAATGTAACAAGATCAGAACCCAGATCACAGGATGAGTCAACACTGACTGACAATTCAATCCCTATCAAAGTTGTTCGATCTTAGGACTCACATGATCCTTCTGCCTTAATTTGAGAAGTACGTCTTTCTCAGAATTTTCTACAAACGTGTTTTTTTATGGACATGAAATTTTATATTTTCTTCTTTTTTTGTTTTGTGGGTTTTTACAACATATAATTATATCTTTTTCTTTTACACAAGAAAAAAAAATTCAATTTTTCTGTGCATGTGATCCCAGCCACTTCAGGAGCCTTACATATATGAAGCATGCAATGTTATAACATTGTAAATGCCATTTTTTTCTAAATATGTTTTATTGAAGAATTGAATTTTAAATGCAATGTTTTCTGCCACAAAAGAATATTGTGGTGGCATTGGCAGTGTAAGTGGCTGTATTTTGAAGATGACTTCCAGTTTGCATTGGAAGTTTGTATATAGTTAATTGGAGTTTCCTGCCACTAAGGTTTTAATATTTGGTCCCAAATATTGAAATTGAAGATGAATTTATGTGAAAATATAACATTTTAAGTGTTAGAGTGCAAGTCACATGACTTCTATTGCATAAAACATTGTGGCTTATATTTATATCATTTCAATATTCCAGAGAATTTGTAACTCAGTGAGTTTTTCACCATTTTATTGTAAAATTGAAATGAATTCATTCATTAGAAAAAATGTTTTTTACCTCTCCTGAAAGGTTTCTTTTTTGGCATTTACAACATTATGGCATTGTATGCTTCATATATTTGTTCTTTAAATATAAAAAATTTGGCATTTTTTTCTTTGCTACCATTACCTTTAAGTCTTCAGATTGCTTCATATTAAGGTAGTGGGCTATATCTCCCGAACCAATAATCCAATTTTCCTGAAAATTTCTTTAAACATTCCTCCCCGATATACAAACCTCCTTGCAAAATTTCAGAAATTTTCGACAAAGGGTACAGGAGTTATTAAGCTTCAAATTCGGCAAAAAAATCCATACATACAGGAAAAAAATACNATTTAAAATATATGCTTTCCACCTTAAATTAGTAGTTGCTTATCCCTGTAGATCATACTTTTTCATTAACAATAGAGTTGTGCAATAGCTATCTATCTAACACTTTTTGGGGGAAAATTATTGAATTGAAACAATATGACTTCCAGTTTGCATTGGAAGTTTGTATATAGTTAATTGGAGTTTCCTGCCACTAAGGTTTTAATATTTGGTCCCAACTTTCATCTATCTAACTCCATTCTTGAGATTAAGGAAAGACAGACAGACAACAACAGTGGGAATTTATAAATCTACAATTTTTTCAAATTGTAGCCCAATATTAGTTAAACAATACTATTTGATATGTATTTATTCTTATTCGGGATCATGTTTGGTAATGACATCTTCTATATTGTATGTTATGTATCCATATGAAAGATTTTTGAGAGAGAAAATTTGTTTTGTATATATTGGTTAAAATTAAAAAATTTTTTATTGTAATTACAAAATTACAAAAATGACAATGAATATCAATTATATAAATGATGCAAAAAACCACAGATTTCTATTGGTTGTCTTACAACTAAAGTCTAATTTTCTTATTCCTAATATATACAAAAGCATCTAATCATTATTATTTGTTTCTATCTATTCTGATTTCATGTCAATCAAGTATTACAGTATTATTAATTGTTTCTTGTCCTTATTTGTATAAGTATTATAAAAATGCTCACAAGAACTTTACCTTATTTAAGGACTTGGACTTATGTCAGGAGGAGCACCTGAAATTTTTATAATCCCAATAAATACAAGTATTAGTGTTTGATTGCAGTCATTCTGCTGTAGAGATATTTTTGAACTCTGCAGGGTGTTCAAAAAGTTACCATGCAGTGGATTTAAGTAAAGTTTTAATAAAAGTGAATTTCTACATACAATATTGTAATTTCTCCTACAACAAATATTGGAAATATCTTCTAGAGACTTCAAAATCCAAGAGAGTGAGATCTGGACACTTAGCAGGACAGATTCTATGGGAGATTATGCAATCAGCAAAGAATTCATTCAAAAATTGTAGTCCAAAAACCAGAACATCTGTCAGCAAGCAGTTACTTTATCTACTGCAAAGTGGAAATGTGATACATACAACTTACAGCTCTTGTATGCAATACCAAATGTGTAATTTTAATGTCATTACAAATTTCTCACTGCACAGTAACTTTTCGGACAACTTGTATTTCTATACCATTGATTTGTAAAAGGGAAAAGAAATTTATCTGCTATTGACCCGCTTTAACATTACATACTAAAATGTAGGAATTTATTTTATTTTTATATTTTCTGATTTATAAATACAATTTATTATGATTAAGTATTTGTATCTTTGATATTTGGAATTGCAACTTTTAAATTTATTTTGTAATAATTATATAATTTTTCAATTTTAACAGATTGTAGATATTAACAGTTTTGAATGGATTAAACAGTTAAGATATTATTGGGATAAAGAATCAGATAAGTGCATTATAAGGATGTCAAACTGTGAATATGATTATGGATATGAATATTTAGGTGCATCACCTCGTTTGGTTATCACTCCATTAACTGTAAGTTTAATAGTTTTTTTAGGTAAACTATTTTCAAAGAATATAATAAAATATCAATTTAATGCTTTTCTCACTGAGAAATAGTTATAATTATATTAAGATTTTATCTTGATAAAGGATTAAACTTTAAAACCTGCTATAAATTTCTAAATTTATTGTAATTCTTTAACTCAAAATTGTTTATTTTTGAACTGTAATAAAAGTAGCATTACTTTTTATTAATAATTGATATATTAATCAAACATATACTGCAAATATTTGATTTATGATTTTGGAAAAGAAGTAAGATTGAAGAGTTTTTAAGCATCATAAATCATTTTGGTTTACAGGAAAATTTAGAGCAGTGTTTCTCAACCTCGAACGAATCGTCGCCCCCTTCACTTCAAAATTCCAATGCCAGAAGCCAAGGCTAACGCCAAATTCGTACTGCATTGAATAGACTAGTGACTAGTATAATGTTATTTGTTTAATTATTGTACCATATAACGAATAAAATATCTAATTATTCTTAATATAATGTTTTACTATATTGCCCAGAAAATTGTTTTTTGCCCCCCAAAATATAAATTGTTACTAATCGCCTCCTCAACACGGAAAAACGCCCACATGGGGGCGATATCACCCCCATTGAGAAACACTGATTTAGAGGAATCATTTTTGGATTTTTTGCAGGAAGAAAGTTTACAACCTGTAGTGTGAACTGGCTGCTGCAACAAAGAATATCATTTATTTCTTAGGAAGATTTTGCTAAGAAATAAATAATTCTGAGAATTTATTATTTTTTAAGCATCTTCACAATTATTTGCAAACTGACAAAAAATTTTAGAATAGCATTTTTTTAATATGTTAAGGAATAATAATTTTTAATTTCATTATAAGAAATAAATTAAACAGTAAATATATTCAATTAAATACACTGTCCAAATAAATTTTATGTAATGTTAATTGTAATACGTAATGACAATTTTTACATGCATGCATGCAAACACACACACAGCAGTGTCATGACATCTGCACAGTGCTGCTCCTTTTATTTAATACTTGTACTTGCAGGAAAGCATTAGTGTTAAACAAAAGGAGCAAGATTTTGCATTTTAGATGCAAGTGTAGCCAGCAAAAAATAATAATGTAACATAGCAAGTTACACATCAACATTTCTGATTTAATTTTCTGGTTTAATTCCTTCTCAGTCCATTTTTTCCAGGTCAACTTTTTACCATTGATATTTGATATATAATTGATATGAATATATGTGAAAAAATATGCAAAAAAATTACCTCCTATATATGTTTTGTTTTTATTTTGAAAATGAAATACAGTAATTTTATTTATCCATTTATATTGTCAATAATTTATTATTATATATTTAATTTTTTTAACTATTTATTATTTATTTAATAATTATTAGTAATATTTATAAATAAAATAATTTTGATTATTTGTTTGAAAGAAAAACTACCAAAAACAATTTATATAGATGCTGTCAGATTCCGAAATGAAACTAAATTTTCCTGCCAACAATGGCAAAATAATTTCTGTAAAATAATGCCATTGATTGAAGGAATAGTGAAATAAACATTTAACAACAATGAACACATTGGAGACAATAAAATTAAAGTTTCTAAAGTATTTTTCACAACAAATATATGACACATGTCAAAGCCAAAAAAGCAATTACTGCATATGAACATGCAGGATGCAATAGTGACTGAGAAGGGGTCAAGAATCCTGCCCCTTTTGTTGAATGCTAATTCTTTCCTGCAAAATCTTTATGTAATGTGAGACAGTGTGCAAACTGCAGATTTTTTATTTAAATAATAATTATTTTTTAATGCTTATCAACTAAAATAAAAGCAATTCTTCATCAACCATTGTACATGTTTAATCAATAATATTCTGTGAAGCATATAAAAATATTAATACATTGGCCAAGATGACAGTAATATTTAAAAAAATCTAAAATGTCTTCATTATGTCCTTTTGCACACCTCAGGAATAAAACCATTTTTTTTTTTACCTATTATGCTGGATGAGTAGCTTACAATAAAAGATTGACTTAACCAGAAAAAAAGATGGTTTTGTTCCTGAGGAGTTTAAAGAGACATAATGGAGACATTTTAGTTTCTTTTATTTTTTTAATATAAAAATATATTTTCAATGATTTCTGAATTAGCTGTATTTAATAGTTTTGTTTTAATATCAAGAAAAAGTTTCCTCTAGAAAAAAATTTCTCATGTAAAAGAGCTATATATACATATATAAGCTTAAGAATTTTACAATTTAATAAATAATTGAATTTCTACATTTATGTGAGATAAGCTGGGGGCCAAGGGGGCAATCCATAGTGACCACTTACTCTGCAGTGGGTCGATTGCTGAGTAAATGGTAAGACTATGTCTGTGGATGGCTAGGAGTTTATTGGAAATGTGCAAATCAAATGATGGCAGCTTCCAGTCAGGAACTGACACCAGTTAGGATAAAATACATGCGTCCTAACTCGTGGATCTTAAATGATGAGTAGGAGAGTCGATTAAATTTCGAGTGAGGAGTGCACGAGTAAGTCTATAGGTATTTCGATTAAGACAAGTAAACAGGTTATATATAAATACAAGTGTTTATAATATATATCTAGAACTAAATAAAAAGCATACAATATATATTTTGAGCTCATTACATGGAAGCTACTAATTCACTCAACGAATTATTGTGTAAATGTCGCATCAAGAGCCACGTTTCTGGAGAGAGAGTTTACAATCGTTCTAACTAAAATATCTCTATGAAATGCTCTATTGTGGAGATGTACATGACGTTCTTCTATAGCATGGAGGAGGAATCGCAGTCAAAGAAATGATGAGTCTATGGCGAGTCTTCTGACCATTCTTATATGGGCCATTGTCTTATATGGGATGTCCATTTATGGATGGCACATCGAGAGACTGCTGTTGCCTGCTTTTTATGGAGAAACTTGCCTCCTATTCCTTATGGAGCTCGGCATGGCACTTATGGAAGGTAGAACCTCTTTTTCCAAAGTATCAGTGCTGCATCCTTATACAGTAGAGCCTCGAAAACTTGGCCTAATGTGAACTGAAGGGTGGCCGAGTTTGTGAAAATGCCGGGTTATCAGGAATGGCATTAAAAAAATAAGTACGAGTGTGGCGTCCTCAGAAAATACTGTACTATACTTGTATGTATTGTTTACTTGAGAATACAACAAAGAATAAACTGCCCAAATATCCTTAAACAAAGGAAAAGTACGTCTTTTATGAAGGCATAGAGCCTTTACTACATGAAAATGAAAATTAATGAATACACTGTACAGTAATTTACGTGATAAGACAGACCTCAGAAAAATACTTTATGAGGCATAAAGTTGTCTATAATGAAAATTAATTAACTAAGGATTTTTTTGCCCTGCCAGGGTGTGGCCGAGTTATCCAGAGTGCTGGGTTATCGAGTGCCGAGTTTTCGAGGCTCTATTGTATTCTATTTGGCCTGAGAAAATGGTCATGTAGTCAACTGGATGACGAATCTGCCGGTGTGAGATGAAGGGTTACCATTGCTGACGTTATGACATCATCCAAATGCAGATGTCATGTCCATATGTGGTTCAATTTCTGCTATGACTCATTTACAGTCGACTTTCGTTCTTCTGTAACAACAGATCATTTAACTTAACAATCAGATGTTACAATTCTCATCTGGTTGTTGATAGAAACGGTTGATATTCAATCCTTTTTTTCCACAATGTTTTCTTTATGATTGTTACAGAGAACTAGGCCTAAGAATTTACTAAAATTTATGCAAAATTGTGCCTTGATCCTCACATTTATCTTAAAAACTTCAATAATTATCCAAGAAGTTCAATAGTAACAACATTATTTATTTTGTAGGATCGGTGCTTTTTGTGTTTAATGGGTGCACTGCAATTAAAGTTGTGTGCTGCTGTTGTAGGACCAGCTGGAACTGGAAAAACAGAAACTGTTAAAGATTTAGCAAAGGCTACAGCCAAACATTGTGTAGTTTTTAATTGTTCTGAAGGATTAGACTATAAAGTGAGCATATTTTATTTTTTTTTAACAATTAAATTAATTAATTACATATATTTTATAACAAAACTTTATTTAAACATTGAAATATTGTCTTAAAATATAAAAAGTGTCAATATTGACTTTAAAAACCAAAAATAAATAAATTTTTTATGTGTAATGTTAATAAAATATTGGAATTAATAACTACATTGAGCAATATTATTGAAAATAATAAAATTATTTAAGGTGACAGGTCGATTTTTTTGTGGAATGGCACAATCAGGTGCTTGGTGTTGCTTTGACGAGTTTAACAGAATAGATATAGAAGTTTTATCTGTTGTTGCACATCAGTTGCTCACAATAAAAAATGCAAAGGTTGCAATGGTAAGTTTTTATAAAATACATTTCTCTTTTGTTTTTCTTAATAACTTCAAGTTTTAATTTTAGTGTCAAAGCACATTACTGGAATATTGCTATTTCAAAAATGAATACTTTTAAAACATTTATCAGTTCATTTTCAGAAATTTCTTTTATATTGAGAAACGTTTAAAAAACTTGTATTGTGTAAACAAACTGTTATAAATTGTGTATTATATCCTGTGATATGTATAGTTAGATGCATTAAATTCCAGAATAGTGGAAAGATGTTAGTATATTCTATTTGTTTTTTAGGGTGATAGGTATACATGGTATGCAACTCCCAGCTTCAACTTTTTAAAGATTTTTCCCAAAATTTAAACCTGTCCCCCTGCAAAAAAAATGAACATACTCACATCTAGTCACTGTATAAAAATTTAATGTATCTAACTGTATAATGTTACACATTGTTATTTTTTAACTGTTTCAGGTAATCAAGTTTCCACTGTATTTCTAATAATAATAATATAAATTATGATTTAATTCTACATTGATATATATAATAATAATAATAATATATTATTATATTATATTATTATTGATTGCTATAGATATATCAATTTAGTCTTGGTTAATGAAAACTAAATGGATTTTATGGATGAAGCCTTTGTCAGTGAATCAGATGGGAAAAAAATCAGATCATAAATAGTAAATTTATATTTATCTATTTATGATTTGATAAATTTAATAATATAGATAGATTGTTTGATTATAAATTGTTCTAGTATAAACAAATTTTAATGAAAGAATAATATGAAAATTTTCCAAAATATTGGATATTTTGTGTGAATTTGAATTTGATAGTTTTAATATTTAGATATGTGATTAAATTAAATTTTTTTAAATTTGTCAATTAAAAGAGGTTGCATCTGTTTGATATTTAGTTTTACTTCTTAAATACAATTTTATGAATTGCAGTAAAACCTGTCAAAAACAGAACCCAAATAAAATTGTGCCTAAACCTGTTTAAATAGGAAAAATTCTTCAAAACAAAGTGATTTTCTGTGTTAAAAAAAAAAAACCTGTTCAGAATGGAAACCTGACAAATCAGAAAATGTATTTGGTGCCATGCAATTCTGGTTTGCACAGGTTTTACTATATAATCTTTCAGTGAAATGTTTTTAATTATTTAAAATTATTTTAGAATTTAAAAATCTACAATGCTTATAAATTACATTAAAGTGTTTAAAAATATTTGAAATATTTTATAATGTTTAAATGGTTTAATGTAATTAATATTAAAAAACTGTAGATGAAAATTTTTATTTTATATAAAGATATATTTATATTTTTGTTGAAATTATTTTACTAAATAGTTGTAATTTACTAATTGAAACTTTTCTTTGTAGCTGTCGAATTTTATGTTTGAAGGGAGAGAAATAAAATTAATTAATTCATGTGCTGCTTTTATTACAATGAATCCAGGATATGCTGGAAGAACAGAATTACCAGACAATTTGAAATCATTATTTCGACCTTTTTCAATGATGGTACCTGATTATGGTAAAGAGTACAGAATTTTTTAAACTTTTTTTTCTAATTCTTTATGTTTTCATATGAAATTACCAGTAATTATAATATAAATTTTTGTTATTATTTTACCTAGAAATTAATTTGACTAACATAATCTTTACTATGCAAAATTTACTTCTAATACAGGGTCTTCCAAAAATAATAGAGGAGAAGGTGGTATTATGGAACCCCAATTACATTTTAGTGAATTGTAAACAAGGTATCATAACTACACCCACATTTTTTGTGCAAAAAGTACTTGTAACTATTAGACTAAATGTTCCTAATTGGATTTTTCGCTAGTGTAATTATAAGTATGGTTTTTGAAGGCTTTTGTACAAAAAGTCCGAAAGTAGGCTTAGAGAAAATCGGGTGGTAATATGGAACCTTACTGTATATTTTCAAAAAATGCTTTAATGTAGCCAAAAACAAATAGGAAAGTACAAAAAATGTTAAATAATTACAAAATTATTTACTCCAATGTATTTTATTGCAAAAATACTTTTATAATAGAAAAATATTACCTCCATCAACAATATATATTCCAGCAGCTCTTTTTCGATATTCTCGGGAAGAATTAACTTTCTACCTAGTGTCTTTTTCACAAATTGCTCTGGATGAATGTCTGCTTGCAAAGAGAGAGTTCGGAGGAGTTGAGTTACGTATTACTGTAAAAGCACCAATGGGGTCCATATTTCACGCATCGCCATCTCAAATTAACTTATGTCTGTCAAGACCAAAATTTAAAAAACTTGAATATTACACAGATTAATATGTACCCCTAAGTCTCTGGAATGGAATACATGCACTAGTGAACCTACAACTACATGATTTATATTTTAAAAATAAATTCACTTAGCATTCAAAACTTGTGAATTTTGAAAAAAAACAAATTTGCCGATTAAATACGGACAACCATTTAACTGAAGTAAAACGGGTTTTCCCCTTGCTATGGATGTCTGCCTAGTTCAGTTTAGCCACAATCTGCTACAGTTTGCCTTTATTATCAGTTCGAAATGAGGTCGTTCCATGATACTCGCAGTGTTTCGTAATATTACCTTTTCCTCTACTACCATTTTAAATTACTGTAATTACATTATTTATTACCTGAGAAGTATCTAATGTACAGCAATTGATACAGTAAGTGTATGAATATCATCTTATCATAAGGAGAAATCATCTGGCATGTAACATAGCATATGATTTCTACTTATCATTGTCTTTTTCAATCAGCTTTTACATTTACTATAATTAAAACATATTTGTTTTTGTTTAATTTTTTTAAATATTGTTATTTAAAGTCTAAAACTTTGGCACATAAAAATTGTTACAGCTAAGTATACTTACTATATTGCATACAAGCACAAAAAGGTTTACCACCCTTAATCTACCATCTGTATTCAAACATTTTATTGTCTATTGTCTCTAGAATGTGCCATAAACAAACATGACACTCCACAACAGAGAAGGTGTTTTATTTTATGCAGTCCAGAAACTCAGAATCAGTCATCATTGTGCAACAAGAATGTTTGTCTTATATGGTGAAATTGTCTGTGAAACTCATGTTGCACACTGATGACTGATTATGAGTTTGTGGACTGCAGAACACAAAACTTTTTTCCTGTTGTGGAGTCGCATTTTTATTTACAGCACTTCCTAGAGGCAGCATAAGAAAAGACATTTGAATGCAGATGATAGATGAAACTTAGATATTTACTTTTTCAATTAATGTACATTGCATACTTCTCAGATAATAATTAATATAATTATAGTAATTTAAAATGGTAGCATATTTTTAAATGACCTTGTAACAATAATTTTAAAAGTGTACATAAGTGTAAACAGTGTCCTCTGGGTCAGATTTGACACCACCTGTGACTTTTAACACACATGAACCTTTGAATGCACACAAGCAATTTCATATGGAGACTTGGAAGGTAAACAGATTGAGAAGGGATAGGAGAGACATGGAACTCTGAAGTGATTCACTCTACTATGAAGTTAAACAAAATAATAATGATTTATTTTAACATAAGCAAATATTACTACACATTACAAACAGCAGAAATTACAGCTATTAAAGATTTCTATATTGTCCAACACCTATCCTATACTATTCTAACCTATCAACACCTGCTTCCAAGAGAGAGAGTTTACAAACTCTTTGCATGTCAATAAATGCCTCTGAACAATGAATGTTCCTTCCTAGCTTTTTTCATGAATATATCTGACAACAGTCCTTGATAATCCTTTGTAGAAGACACCCTAAGATAGTTTTGGTGATATGGGCACAATGGGGAGCTGAGGTGACAGGGTTTTCCTGGAGTGGCAGTGGGAGGTCAATCTTGATGTCTAACTCAACTCAATGTTTACTTGGACTCCCTCAAACTCTGCCTGATCTTTTCATCACCTTTTCTTTTATATTGTACTTCTCACAAAGTTGGTTCCCAATTTGATAAAATTGGATAAAGATTGCAATTATCATCCAATTCCAGATTTCTTTTGTAGACTTCTTTGGATGAGTAGTCATTCCAGGAAGATGTGCCATTTCAAAAGAAAACACTCCTGTTGATTTCTATGAGTTTTAGCTTTGTTTAAGTTTTTAATTTAATTTATATGTTAAATTTTATAAATAATAGCCTGGCATTTCACATTAGAAATTGAAAAAAATGCTTTTATTCAGGTTATCATTTATACATTATTTATAGTTACCTTTAAATTTGAAAGGAAAAGAATTAATAAAATGAATTAATTTTTCTTGAATTAAAATTATACTTCATCTGAAAACTTGCTATAATTTAATAACACAGAACTACATTTATTTATAGAAAACAGTGTTTCTAGTGCACAAATTTTACAAATTCACACTAAATGATCCCAGTTTTAACACAAAATAGCAAAAGTTTTGTTGTGCTTTTAGAAATTGCATTTAAATATAACTGCCTACTGGTGACCAAGTGGATAAGACCACTAAACACTAGTAGTTGGTCATGGGTTTTCATCCTGCCAGCAGCTGGCCATGTAAAGTTCTTGGGTTTTCTTCTCATTTATAATATCTAACTAGTGACCAATCTCCCATAGAAAGTCCTCCTGGGAGACCTTTCCACTTGGCGGTTCACCCATGTGTTGCGTTGCTATATACAAACAAAAAACTTTTAAACACAGCTAAATTAGCATAGATAAATTAAAATTAAAATTTTATTACTTTACAAGAAGCAAATGAATTACAAAAATCAATTTTATTACAAATGTAAAAGAGAAATTATGATTATTTTATACAATAATTTTAAAAAATTAGCCTATTAATTTTTAAGTTTTTTTAAACTATATATTATTAAAATTTTAAATTATTTAATTAATTTTTTAAAAATAATTTTCAGTTCTAATTTCCGAAGTAACGCTTTATTCGGAAGGATTTCAAACTTCTAAAATATTAGCTAAAAAAATGACACTATTATACAAACTATGTTCTGAGCAATTATCTCAACAAGATCATTATGATTTTGGAATGAGAGAACTGAAATCTGTGTTACATATGGCTGGTGAATTAAGAAGGGAAAATCCTGATAAAAATGAAGAGTCTGTAATAATACATGCATTACTAGAAAGCAATATGCCAAAATTTTTGCATAGAGATGTTCATCTGTTTAAGGTATTTAGAAATAATTTTAATAACTGTAATAACTTTTTTTTCGGCATAGATTTATTTGGCATAGATTTTTTCAAAAATACATTCTGAAGTATTTTTGGACTCCCAAGGATTTTTGTAAACTAGCTTTGACATATAACTTATATAATTATATTATGTGATAACAGCTGTTTTTATTTATGTAATTTTTTTAAATTTTATTTTAATAGAAAAAATATATGAAATGCTAAATTTCTGAAATACTGTTATAATTTTAATTTTATGCAAATAATTAGGAAATATTAAAAATTTTTCTATCTGGATATATTTTTTTGTGCTAAAAATATATATCTATGACTCAAAAGTCATGCAATTTTGAAATCAAATGTAGGTCATTTATATGCTAAAATTTATTCATTTATATGTGCAGTACATCATAGCTAGTGATATATGGATTTTACATATTGTTTCTAAAGTCTATGCAGATTTATTGATTCTTACTCAACTTTTGTGAAAATTTCTGAATTTTGGTCCAGGATCCTGTCTTAATAGCATTAACAAAACTGGAATCATTAGTACATTCAAATTACAAATTATGTTTTCTTTGTTAAACAGTAAGTTTTACAGCTGCAGATTGAAATATAACAAATTCATTAGTTTTTAACTTAATAAATCACTATATTTTCACACAGACTTTTTCACATACAGGTAATCCCCATATAATACGGGAGTTATGCTCCAAAAAATTGCCATTTTATGCGAACTGTGTTATACGAAACAAAGAACTAGTGCAAAAAGGGGGTTAGGTTCCAAAAATTAAAAAACATGCTGTTAAATCCTTATTTAAATCGGATTTATTATTCATTTTTTTCATAGGTAAAATACTTATTTATTATTTAAGTAAATATTTTACCAGAGGATTATTCATCCTATATGATGATCTCAGCATGAGCATCATCAACTGGTAACAGTTTTTGGGTGTGTTTGTTAATAGCGGTCGCTCTGCAATGGGAGTGCTGCTGTTTGTAGGCATTTAGGAACGACGGCGAAAGAAAGATAGCGGCGCCCGCACTATCAATAGTATCATGATGGAGGAATCTATAATTCTAAAATGTGCTTTTAGAAGCAAAAGAAGGGTCCCATTGTAAAATTTAATCATTAAATGGATTATTTGTTGAAAAAGCATTCAAAGTAGCCACAAAACAATTAGAATGCTCGCGCGGAGTTACACAGAGGTATAAAAGAATGCACCTTTTATTACATTTTATGTTGTACGAGGGTTTTACCCAATTCCCGAACTGTGTTAGAGTGAACCCGTGCTATAAAGGCACTGTGTTATACGGGGATGTTCCCAATTCTCGAATCGTGTTAGAGTGAATCTGTGCTATAGAAGTGCCGTGTTATATGGGGGTTACCTGTATTAATACTATTCCTATAAATTCACCTTCTGAAGAATTTTCCTTTTCTCTTGATATATCCTGTATATACAGTGTATATGTAAAGCATAAAGTATATATGATTTATTCTTTGCTTATATTATATTTGCTTCTATTCTGTTTCTTTAATCTTTATATGTAACTGGTTCAAACAGCATTATTTTCTAGGAATTATCACATCCAGATACTCTGTAATTACTAGCTAATCAACAACTTTATTTTATTCAGATGCATTACAAAAATTACAATATTTCTCTCCTCAGTTGTTTTCTTCCATACAAGCTAAACAACACACAATCACCTTTTTGATACACTCCCCAATTTTTCAATATTCCAACAGTTTTGACAATTTTCATATTAAAATCATTTTTTGCTGTGTTCTTTTCATTAACAATACTTTATTATACACAGTCCTTGCCATTATTACTTTCATTCATTGTCTTCCACATCATAATGTGAAAACAATAACAGCAAGGACTATGTATAATAAAGTATTGTTAATGAAAAGAACACAGGAAAAAAATGATTTTAATATGAAAACCGTCAAAACTGTTGGAATATTGAAAAATTGGGGAGTGTATCATAAAAGTGTTTGTGCCTTGTTTAACTTGTATGGAATAAAACCCACTGAGGAAGGAAATTGTAATTTCTGAAATGCATCTGGGTTAAGTTGTTGATTGGCTAGTAATTATGGAGTCTGTGGACATGATAATTCCTAAAAACTAATGCTGTTTGAACTGGTTATATATTAAGTACTAGCTGTTTCCTGCAGCTTTGCCTGCACAGATTTTGCAATTTTTTTTTTTTTTTATTTCTCAAAAGACACTGTGGCCAGGTTGGCCTTTTACGAGCATCTTACAGTAAATCAACAAAACCAACAAAAAAAAAAAACAAAAACAGGACGCGAGCTGAAAAAGAACATTAATTAACAACAAATATCATTGCATCTTAAGTTTTTTTCCGTTTTTTACATTTTTTTCTGAAGATTTCATAACTCGATATGTTTCGTAAATCGTTGCACAGACTATTCCAATAGAAGATTAATTGAAAGATCGGTGCAGATCTCCCCACCTCTAGTTTAACAATTGGAAGACTATATTCACGAATTATACGAGTATCTCGTGTTGATACCAATTCCGAGGAAGCTGTTTTTTTTTTTCCCCTTTATATATTTGAAGCCCTCCAATAGAATCTGTTTCTTGTAAATTTCACTAATCTTGTCAATATTATCAGTGCAGTAAAGTTCAGATACTGATTCCATAAAGTTTAAATTATAAATTGAATGCATGTAACAATTTTGTGCCATCTGAAGTTTATTAACAGCGTATAGAGATGCGGTTCTCCATACAGCGATACCATATCTTATTCTAGATTCAATGCAAGTGTGGTACAGCCATTTCAAGAGTGATGTACTTAAAAAAGCTTGAATTTTCTTATTTATCCCAGTATACTTTGCCAGGGAAAGTGCAACATCATCTATATGTTTATTCCAACGCAGATTGTCGTCAAAAGTTACTCCCAAAAACTTAATAGCATTTACTTTTTCTATGTTATAATCAGTTATTTTAATTTTTAGGTGATGTGGATTGATTATTTTATTCCTATTTGCAAAGCAGAGGAATTTAGTTTTATTTTTGTTTATTACTAATCCATTGTTTTCCATATAACTATTTAAAATTTTTAAAATGTGATTTAAATTCTCCTGAAGAATTATAACGTTCGTATGAGAATAAGTTATCACTAGATCGTCAGCGTACATCAGTATATTCTCTTTTGGTATATAGTTAAACAAATCATTAATATATATATTGAAAAGCAGTGGACCCAGGATTGAACCTTGAGGAATGCCCTTGTTTGGCCTGAAAGAGCTAGAGATAATCTGTCCAATTTTTACAAAGTAAATTCTGTTTGACAAGTATGATTTTAACCAGCTTAGAGGAGTCCCTCTTAGACCAACAGTCTGCAATTTTTGATACAAGAGTTCGTGATTTAAGCTATCAAATGCTTTTGAAAGGTCCACAAAAACAGAAATTGCTATTTTAGATTTGTCGAGTTGTGACGTTATGGATTGTTTCAAATGCAACAAAGCATCTACCGTCGAAAATCCTCGTTTATAAGCGTATTGGTTTCTGTGAATAACCTGGAATCTGTCTATAAAAGTTGAAAATCTCTTGTAAAAAATCTTCTCGAAAATTTTAGCCAACACTGACACTATTATTATGGGGTGATAATTTTCATTTTCACTTTTTGATCCTTTATTTTTATATAATGGCAAAACTAAGTTTTGATTTAGTTTTTCCGGAAAGTAACCATTTTCAAAAGATTTATTTATCAGATACGATAATGGTTGAGCTAAAATATCAGATATGTGTTTTAAGATTTCAATATTTAAGAAACTGATGTCTGGAGTGCTGTTTTTCAAACCTTCTATAGTATTATAGACTTCTAAGGCTGTTGTATTTTCCAAAAAGAAAGTATTAGAAATACTAACATTTGTTCTATGTTGCTCCGAATTGATATTGCCAAAGACATCTGGAGCAAAGCCATTCAAGGACCTATAGTGCTGGGCAAAAATATCACTAAAAGTGCACTCATCATTTATCATTTTCCCCTTGTAATTCAAATGATCTATTTTAGCGTTATTCTTTGTCCTTGTTACCTGAAAGGGTAATGTCTTAATACCTTTCCAGAAGTCAGAAGGAGATTTAACATTAGAAAACAGAAGACTATAATAGTTTTTCTCTTCATTACAGATATTTTTTTCTGATTTGTTTATTCGAGGTATTTATATCCTCTAAATGTTTGTTTCGTTCTTCGAAAGTTGTCCAATTTTTATTTTTGATTGTTTTAAGTAAGGTTTTCTTCTGTTTAATTAATGTGAGAGTGTGTTCAGATATACAATTCTTTAAGAAGTCTTTCCTGCTAGTTTTATTTTTTTTCACATATTCTTTAATCAGAAGATATTTATCAATAAAAACGAGTAAAATGGTGTATAAATAGTCAGCTGATTGGTCAGTTGTCAAACTTGAAGTATAGTAATAACTCCGGGAGAAACAAGACGACAAAGCATAATGTAAACAGCAAATTGAGGAATTATTGATTTTACGGTAGAATGCTTTGTTATTTATTCTCATATCAAGGTTTTTTTCAGGGGGTAAAGACGATGATAGGTGGATGGTCAGATATCAAATTTTGATGTATTAAAAATTGACACGCACTATCGTTTGTTAGACCAAAGTCTATCAAAGAGTGAGTATTTTTTCTGTATCTAGTCAGTTGATTCAAATCAGCGAGAATTGTTAAATTTTCAGCAAAGCAAAGATTTACCAGTTTGGATGTGTTGGAGGAGTTATTTTTAAGTAAATCGATGTTAAAATCCCTGATTATTTGTAATTTATATTTTCCATATTTAGTTGATTTATGTAATAGTATTTCATTTATAACAGGGGTGTCTAACCTGCAGCCCAAGGCAAGTTCCAATGCGGCCCAATAAACTTGTAAATCAAAACTGACAAATTTTTTAATTTAATTTATTTATTTCAACGGCATAAATTCAAAAAAAGAAGTTTCACAAAGCCTTAAACCTTT